AATTTTATAAGAGTTTTGCCTATCTCCGTGGGATCAATACTGAGGTTTTTAAAGAAATTCCTATATTATTGGGTGAAAGGCCAAGGACTCGGAAATGATGCTAGTTTTGCTGGCGGTACATGGGTAAGATTGGAGTGCAGTTGACAACTCTTGCACTTTTGTAAAAACTCCAATACATATTGTTTGATTGTGGCTAGTAGAAACTTTGTCTCATTATTTTAAGAGCAAGAGTTTTGCCCCCGAGATGCTGCCCACATATTCCGGAACGAACCTCTCACATAGCGTAATCAGCTTCAGATTAGGGAAGAAATTGAGGCATGAACCAACAAATGCATTTTTATATATTTCATTCCAATAAGGATGAGGTTGGAATTCATGCGCCTGAGGCGAATTGACGCAGTAGCATAAACTGACATTGTTTCATCTCGGAGGAAGGAGATGATGGGATCCATCCAAGATGGCTCCTTTGTGTCATCTATAGATAATATCACCCATGAGCCCTAAATGCTAGGAAAATGTATGTCCTTGATGCATCTTCTTATATAGAGATCTTTAGTTGTCAAAGTAGTGAGTTTGGAGAGGGTATCAACACGAGTGTTATACTCCCTAAGTATGTGAACGAGCTTGAATGTTTCAATTTGGGCGTGAAGTATTTTTACTAAACTAAGATATTGCACTAGTTGTAAGTTATGAACGTCAAATTTATTCAATACTGGGGATGCAATGAGCTGAGAAATAGTGTAGATAATCATATTTCATACTTCAAAGTTAATGATAAGTTTTAATCTGACGATGAGGGCTTCATACTTGTCAACATTATTTGTGGATGAAAATTTCAAGCGAGGTCAGCAATCTAAGATGTCTTTCTTTGAGGAGATGTGTAGTATTCCAAAACAAACTCCAGAGTTTCTGGATGCTCCATCTACGTATAGTGTACACTGAGGTGACCGTTGAGGGGATAAAGTCGGCTCATCGTAAGCAAACAATGTACGTTCTACCACAAAGTCATCCAACACCTGTGATTTGATGTTTGGTCATGGTATATAACGAATGTCAAATTCTCTCAGTTCTACTAAACATTTAACTAATATTCCCCATGCTTTTGGTTTTTTTTTTGGGATAGACTTCGAAGGAATTTGTGTGTAGACGCCAATAGTGTGGGCCTAGAAGTACGCACAAATTTTCCTTACTGAGAATACCAGAGCCAATGTTGTCTTGTACGCCATCAGATAACAACGTCTGTATCAGATAGAATCTTGTTGACATAGTACACTAGCTTTTCAATTGATTTTTTCGTCTAAACTAGGACAGATCTTGTTGTGTAAGGTAAAATAACCAAGTAAATGTATAACATCTACCCTTGGAAGAGCTTTGAGAGGAGGGGCGTTGAAGCCAGATATGCCTTGAGTTGCTCGAAAGCGATCTGACTGTCATCTGTCCACTGAAAATGAGTGCTCCAAGCACCTCTAAGTATCTTGAAGAATGGTATATACTTATCACCATAGCAAGCCAAGAAGAGGGATAGAGCAGTTATACAAACATTCAAGCATTGCACCTCCTTGATGTTCCTTGGAGCCATCATGTCTCTTAGCGCCTTGACTTTTTGTGGGTTTGCCTCAATTTTATGATGAGTAACCATGAATCCCAAAAACTTCTCTAATGTGAATCTGAAAGCACAATTAGTCATGTTAATTCGCATGTCATATTGACAAAAAAGTGGGAAACACTCCTCCAGATGAGAAATGTGTTGAGACGCTTCCAGGTTTGTTACTAACATGTCATCAACATAAATCTCCATTATATGCCTCAGAAGATTTTTGAAGACTTTGTTCATGAGACATTGATGACATAACCTGAAATGCTACTTGATGAAATTATCTGTTTGAAAAGAGGTGGCTTCCTTGTCAATTGAGTTCATCTTAATTTGATTGTACCCTATTTATGCATCACTAAAGCTAAGCATCTGATGTCCAGACGTGGCATCGACGAGTTGATATATGGGTGGGAGGGGATAGCTATCTTTCGAACAAGCTTTGTTGTGGTCAATATAGATGAGTCACATCCTCCATGAATGACTAGCTTTTTTGACCATGACCACATTGGCCAACCATGCGGGGTGGTGCACTTCTCATATGTACTTTGCTTCCAAAAGCTTGTTGACTTCTTGTTCGATAGCTTGTGAGCGTTCTAGGGTGAAATTGCGCTTATTCTGGATGATTGATTTAGATGTTGGATCTATCTTTAAAGAGTGCATGATTATTTCAGGGTCGACTTCAGGGATGTCGGTTGTGGTCCATGCAAAAATGCCTTAGTTCCTTTAAAGAAGAACTATATATTTCAAACTTTGTTCATCGGAGAGTAGAGAACCAAGCTGCACTGTTCTCAAGGAGTGCTCATTGAAGAGTGGGACGTAAACCAAGTATTCCACTAGAAAAGCCCATTGAGATATATCTTCATCTCAAAATCAAATTTCTCAATGCTAAGTGTCACTGACAAGTATGACTCAGCTTGCCTGAGGTAGCATGATTGTGTTATCTGTTGATCTCCTCGTACGATGTCATTTCCTATTAGGGTTGGAAAGTTAAGCTTCATGTGTAGTAGAGAAACCACAGCCAAAGATGGATTGTAGGGATCTCCCAAAGATGACATTATATGTTGATTCTAACTTCACGACGATGAATTGGACTGGGCGAGTTGTCTGTGAGGAAAATCCCATATGATTATAGGGAGATTTATTATTCCCTTAGCCCTTACTGGTTGATTATTAAAATCATATAATGGCTCAAATGTAGATAGAAATATTTTCTTTGTTAGTCTCAAACTAAGGAAAATGGAGTAGAACAAGACATCGATAGAGCTCTCATTGTCGATCCAGATCCTCTTTACGTTGTAGTAGGATTCGTCAATTCTTGCGCTAATGACAAGAGGGTCTTAGTGGGTACTCGAACTCCTTTTAAATCAGAATCATCAAAAGTAATAGGCTCAAGGCATAATTTCTTTTGTGCTATTTCATTGGTGTAGTGATAAGGACTTGATCGATTAGCAACGGGACTCCAGTAATTGTCTGAATTTTGCCCACGATTGGTGACCCCCATGTTGTTGCTTTTGTGTATGTTGCCCCCCAGTTGGAGCATTATCAATACGAACTGGTTTGTTTTGCACAAATTGGCAAAGATATCCCTGTCGAATCAACTTTTCAATCTCTTTCTTAAGCTGCTTACATGCTTCAGTGGCGTGGCCACGACTTTGATGAAAATAACAATATTGTTCTTGATTCCTCGAGTGAGGTTTTAGAGGGTGAGGTCATTTAATAGTTTTCTCATCTTTGATGGCCATCAAGACATTAAAACATGACGTGTTGAGCCGTGTATACTCTTTCTTAGGTTGATGCTCACTTTTCTGGCCCGCAAGTTGGGGAAGGAGGTCACAAATTCTTTGCTTTCATATTTTTTCCATTTCGAAGATTAATTATTATCTCTGGCGTCACTTTTTTGCTTTCCCCCAACTGCTTAAACTGCTTCTTATGTGTGTTGTTGACCTCGTTTGTAATGATTTGGGCTTCAACATGGTGGATAAGTTCAACATAAGAATGAACTGTCTCCCGCATCACTAATAAGTAGAAGAGTCTCGGGCAGAGACCCTCATGGAAGACCCCTCTTAGTAAATTGGATCCACTCTCGGAATCTGTTAGGCTTTAGCATAAAACATGTAGAAGTAGTTCATGAGCGACTTTCCTTCACTTTGATCAATTCTTAAGAAATAGGATGAATCCTTGATTAGCCGATTTGTTATAAACTGCTCTAAAACTATCTGACAAGCTCGTTAAAGGAATTTCCAGTGCCCCTCGACAGAGGGTAGAACTGGGTTCTAGCTTGTCCTTTAAGAGTGTCCGGGAACACTTGACATAGAAGCACATCAAAGGCACACCGAATGTGCGTGATGGTTTGTTAATAATCAATATGCTAAAGGGGACACTTATCCCTTCATATTGTCGATGTTTGGAAGCTTGAAGCCTGTTAGAATGGGGTGTTGGAGGATCACATCCTCTAAGGGAGAGGTTTCATGGATGTTATGGTGAGTGAGGAAGTGATCCTTTTTCTTTGAGGGAAATCTTCCTGGACGATGCTGACCTCTTACGTGAAAAAACTGTAAAAGGGAAAAAACATAGAGACTTGTCTAGTTTTAAAAATCTATTATAGATTGATGATTATAGAGACCTCTTATCCCACAGTCGAGAAACATTTACTAAGTTTTACAAGTTATAATGTTAACTGACGACTTTCGATCAATGGTGGTCAATGGTGATTGGTGGTGATCAACGACGGTTAGCGATGGTTGATGACAGTCAATGGTGGTTGATGACGATAATAGTGCTTGAAGGTGGCCAGTAGTTGTCTATGACGATTGGCATTGGTCAACAACGATTGTCGGCGATTGGTGGAGATCAATGACAGCTGACGGGTGTCGACTGCGGTTGGCAGGTGTCAATGGTGGTCGACAGTGGTCGACGGTAATAGAGATTACGTTGGACCTCAACTTCTTCTCGAAGCTTCAATTTCTCTCTTAAGCCTCAAACTCCTCTAAAGGTAGGGCTATATTCATAGTGTTCTGTGTGCAATTAATATAAGAATATGAACCACTTTGATCGGATGGTCCGATAACTTCTTTCAATCAAACGACGTTTGATGAATATTTGAGTGTCTTAACAATGTCGAAAATGAGCAATCTTGGTCTTGTTGGATTTGTCTTATCGAGACGCTTAATTCGACTATAGTCTTGCTAGATTCAACATTTGTTTAACCTTCAAAATATATACGAAAAACTTTCAAGAATGATTTAATGACTTGATCTTAGCTTGATTTGACTCAGATTGAATTGATTTTGGTAAGATTGGGTTCTTCTTGTCGAGCCGGATAGTTTTACAATAAGTTTGCCGAAATCAGATTTTTGGATGAGTATTTGTAAGATTTGAATATTTCTTGCTGAAAAAGTTGCATCCAAATTTATCTCATACCTCGAAATTCGTGTCCCGGATGATAGAAAATTGCCAGAGATGTACCAAAATCAAATAATAATTTGATCAGAAAAGGATAGCCATTCATGTCCCTTTTAATAAGACAGTGTAATAAATTGGATTAAATATACATAATTCTAGTAAAATACAATTGTCGAATGTGACAGCCATCTATGTCCCTTACCAATAAGGAAAAAAAAAAGAAAATTCCTCTCCAATCATGATTATCGGCGTGTAATTATCTTAAGATGTTAATAGTTGGAGAAAAATTTATATAAATCAAAGAAACAAACATACCGGAAGTCGCAGGCCCGCATCACGTTCGCAAAATTTTATGCGACAACCCGCATTTATCAATTTATCACACTCGTCTATGAACGGTACGATTTGCGGTAAAATAAAATCCTGACCACAGATAGCGGTTATCGCACAAATTTCCTGCAGGTCTTTACCCATGCGCCTCTTTGTCGCTAGCGCCCTACGATTTCCTCCGGAAGTTTTCATCCGGCTCGTCCGAAGGAGGGCGAAAGTTGAAAACAATTGTGAAGCTTGCACGCCATTCCTGAACTCTCTCTCGCTGATTACTCGGATCCTTTGCTTGATTGTGGAACTCTCTCTCCGAACTCTGCTTTTAGGGTTTGCTCCCTAATTCACATTACATTCATGATATCTTCGAGTAGTGAATGTCAATAGTAACTGAAGTTTAGGGTTTTAAGAGTACGAAATGCGTGGGTTTGATCCAGGGATGACGCTACTGTTTTTTATGGTGTTTCGATTTAGAATGACACGAACCTTGTGGCATAGTATTCACTGTTTTCTTTTTCTTAAATTGGCGTATGGCTAGTAATACGGTTTTTCAGTTGTACTTCTTTTTCAGTAGTGAATTGGACCAGATGGAGTAGTTCGCCGCTTGCTGTGGTTTTTGTTCTTTCAAATTGAGATTTTTTAGAGTTTTGTGTAGTCTTCCTTGAGTTCTGCAAAAGCTTTGTTTTCTGGGAGAAGCGGCTGATTTGGAATTCTGTCGGAGTGGCCTATAAAAGCTACTTGAGAGCTTTAATAGTATTTGTCTGGCCACTGGTTGCCATATATTGTTTCTTACATCAGACATTTTTATAGATTTTGCATGCTTTGAAACTTATGCTTTGACATTTGATCAATATTAGATGGTCGTTGTCACATTTGGTCCGAATTGATCAGCTTGCAAGCCTAATGTTGTTTCAACTGCCTTCAAATCTTATATTCAATATTAAAATTTAGAATTTTTCTTTTTGTAGACCCAGCAATCCCATTGCCAGGGCGGAGAAGTTGAACATGGAACAATGCGGGCTTTACCAATGCTTTTAATCTTTTCTTCTTTTTAGAGAGGAGTTAGTCATTATATTTATGCATTGGTAGCCAAAGACAATAAAACCTTCATGGCTTTTGGAGGAAGAAATGCAGGCATGTCAAAATGAAAGATATTGTGCTTCTGAAATCCTGATTTGTTGGTTAAGATGCCCTTTTTTTTTCAAATTAGCAACTTATCTGTTTCTTTCTCTATTATAGCTATAGGCTTGATGGATGGGTTAGATGTTTCATCAAATTTCTTTATGAAGTCTAGAATAGGAGCCATTCTAATCTGTACATTTTAAATCATTTCAGCACTTAAACTCTATTTTTATTCTAAAAGCTAGCAGAACATTTGCATAAAGAGGCTGAGATATATGACATGTTGGCATTTTAGCACCTTGAATTTATTTCTATCTGCCAATCGGTTGATATCTTGATAGTAGTAATTCATTCTTTTAACAAGCTAGTATTATATGAAATTGATGCATAAATATTGTTTCATAGTGATCTAAGTAGCATTGGTTATTATTTTTGAATAGTAATTTCAGTGTGAGTTTTGGCAATGAAAATTGTTATAATGGCAACTCATCTTTTTTAGGTATCCATTAATTATGGAGAGGCATTTGGAACTTAGGCCTCCTTTGCTCCTTGGCTTTTTTTCAACCTGTGTGCTTTGCCATTTTGGTGGTTATGTGTTCTGCTCCTTTGCTATTTTATGGACATTTGTTCCACTAAAATGGACAGTTATTATTTTGTATGCTTTCTTGTATTAACTTTTATTAATTGATTGAATAAAATTTTTCATTTTTTTATGGTACTATGGATAAAACTAGATGTATTCACTGATCATATCCTTATTGTAGATAAAACTAGAGAAAGAGTTCAGAAAAAACTTGAATTATGGAGGTCTACATTGGAGTCTAAAGGCATTTGTTTGAGTAGAAACAAAACTAAATACGTGGAATGTAATTTTAATAGTAGTAGCTCTAGTTGCAGAGTTATAACTATGAGTGATCAAATCATTAAAGGTTGCAAATATTTTTAATATCTCGGGTCTATTGTTCAGAGTGATGGTGATATAGATGGGTATGTTTTTAGTAGAATTCATGTTGGTTGGTTGAAGTGGAGGAATGCTTCGGGCCTCTTATGTGATAGGAAAGTATCACTAAACTGAAAGAAAACTTTTATAAGATAGTGGTTAGGCCTGCAATGCTCTATGAAACAGAATGTTGGCTTTTAAAAGAGAAGCATAAAACAAAGTTAAGTGTTGCTGAGATGAGAATGTGTAGGTGGATGAGTGGTTTGACACTTAGAGACAAAATGAGAAATGAATATATCCACGATAGGGTTGGCAGGGTTTATGTAGCTCCAATGGCGTACAAGATTAGAGCGAGTCATCTTAGATGGTTAGTTCACATTAAACTCCGACCATCTGATGATCCAGTTAGGAATTAGATGTTTTAGCTTCGACTGAAGTTAAGAAAGGCAGAGGTAGACCTAAAAATACTTAGGCATATGTATATAAAATGATCTTAATTATTAGAATTAAATGAAAATATGACATTCAATAGGACGCAATGGAGAAAAAGGATTCATGTCGCCGACCCCACTTAGTGGGATAAAGGCTTGTTGTTGTTTGGTACTATGATTTATTTTTCTTAGGTTCAATACATATTGATTGTAATGTAGATTTTTTTTGTGCAAGAGATTGCTCTGGAGAGTATTTTTAAGCCTTAGTTTGGCAACATTGTGTTGTGCTGAGCAGTACTGCTTTGCAGTGTGCTATGTTGTTTTGTGTTGTGTTTTCAAGTAAATCAGATGATTTTTTAATAAAATTATTATTAAGTCTTTAATTTAATATTCTGCTTGTTTTGTGGTAAGAAAAGTAACCAAAGAAAAAATGTAAGAGATATTTGAATGAAGAAATCAGATAGCCTTTTCCTTGTTTTTCCCACAATTTACCTCGTAAAGTTGTTTTTTGGGAAAAATAATGTTTACAATAAAGTTAGTTCTATAAAATTTTAATTGAAAAACCATTAAATCATAAGTCCTGTCAAATGAAGCTAGTTTACTTTTTTGAGGTGCTGTGACAGATGAGTTTATTTGTTAAAAAAATTTTTAGATAGTAACCTGACTTGGTTAAATGACCAAAGTAGACATGATTATTAATTAATAAGTGATAACAACTAAAAGCCTATTTTAAAAAAAAAAACATCTTCTCCTTAAAAAAGTTATTTTAGGACTAATAGTTAATAATTATGCATATATGAAATAGATTTAAATTAGAGTAGTAATTAATTAATCATAGAATGATTTGTGTAGTAGCAATAAATAAGATTCATACAATTCATCCCTTAAAAGGGCACATTGTTTGCTACTTAAAAAAAACAAAATAGTACTTGATTCTCTTTGAATAATTCATTTAAAATTTATAATAAAATTAAGCAATGCGATCCTTTACCAATTGATCATTCCTATTAATAATTAATCTAACGGAATAAGACTTGGAATGTGCATATCTACATGAGATGTGGGAAACTACCTTCGTCAACTAGATTCGTGGTGTTTCAAAGGTTCTTGAGTTCAATATTTTACTTGCTGGTTGATGAGAGTACAAGTGATAGAGAGCTTTCCCAATAACTACTATGACTATGATAGCGTTTTTCAGGGTGGGGTAGAAGAGAAGATTGAAAGCGATGTGTTCATAAATAGGGAGTAATATTGGGGCATTCAAATTGTGATAGAGGAAAGGAATTAAATGAATTGATGGAAGGATTTACATGTAACTAGAAAGCAGTCATGTTAATATTTAATGAAATGGGGAATATGATACTGTTTGGTATTATTGAGCTTAGTCAAGGGCATTTTTGTCTTAAGAAGGTCAAACGTTAATGTATGTTTTGTGAAAGCATACTTGATAAGCCTTTTGATAACCCATATTTTGGCTTTCATATGGCTGAACTTTTCAATGCAACAGTTTTGGTGCACTTATCAAAATGGCATAAAACTGATATATTTTTCTTGTTGAAAAACATGAGCAAGTAATAAAAAACCTTTGCCAAATGAGGTGTATGAACTTTTTGTGAGTTTATTGTCTTGTTTTAGTAGCCTTTGTTCAAAAAATGATGTATGCTGTGGGTCATATCCTACTTTCTGGAAGTTGAATAAAAGTGTTGATTATCCGTAAATTGAATACAATAGCAGTCAATCATCTAGAAGTTGAATACAAGCATGGCACCTCTTTATCAATGCTAAGCTGTGTTCCAAAGTCTGGATTGAAAAAATTTAGTACATATTTGTGTTTTATTTGGGGAAATGAAACTATTGTAACTTGATTCATGGCAGGAGACGGCTCTAGAGAAGAATCTTCTTTCCAAATTACTTTCGTGTGAAAATATTATCATGATTTAAACCAAAACAATCCTTTGAGAAAGGGAAGTTGTTGCTTGCTTCAACTTTCTCTACCTTCCGTGTTAATTATACGTTAACATTTATTAATGCTTAATTTTTACTTCACGTATCACATGGACAGACATGTGCCAATGATAGCTTCACCTCTTGAATCCATTAGGGTTGTGCCTTTCAGATGTATTGGCTGAGAAGAGAACTTAGAAGTATAACATTTAAGTTTCTAGATCTTACTTGGTCTTTATTTTTCTTGCTAATCATTTACGGTATGTCTGAATATCTGGAAAATACTAAGACTCAACTAATGCACTAGAGAGATGAAACAAAGCAATTGACTGCTCTGTAAATGTCATGTTCTATTGTTGTTTTATTATTTGTTTCATAATTTTGCTTGATTCTTGGCCGTAGAAAGCTTTTGGTTTAAATATTCCATATTTGCCATAGTGCTTTCACATTAGAATGATCTTTAATTTGACCTTTTTTGATCTAATGGATTAAAATTTTAACTGTTGTCACAATATTTTTCTGTGCCATTTGGATTATAATAAGCATGCATGGTCTACAAATTTTTATTTAATTTTTTATATTTGAAATTCTTACTATTTGTTTTTTTGTTGAATCTAGATCTTTGCAGTTTTCTCCAACATCAGTCTTCATGCTCTGAGTTCGTCATCATGTGCAGAAAATAATGTCAATCAGTATGGTTTTTTGTCTACGAGAACTTTTGAAGCAGAGTGCTATGTACTCATGAACTCCGGACACATTGCTAGTTATTTTATATGTATGGATACTCTTATTTTGGAGTTTATGAACTTCTACCGCTTTTGCTAAAATGGCATTGAAGATGGTTTTCCCTTCAATATTTTTCCATTTTTCTATGGCTGAGTCATCAGGCTTCTCAAATCTCAGCTTGGATGTTCAATCATACATACTACTGAGCTGGCCGATCTTAAGTGCGGGCATATTTATGTTGGTTTCAGTAGTCTTGTCTCTGTTTCTTGTTTTGGAGCATCTTGTAATTTACTATCAGCCTGAGGTATCTTTTATGTTCTTTCTTATTTGTTATTTTGTGCATTTTTTTGTTGTTATGGCAATAGAGAAAACTATTGCATAATGGAGATTTATCATTTTTCTCTGTGTGGCTTTTATTGTGCATTCCTATGTAATATTTATGGGAATAGATAAAAGTGTTGAATGCACAAATTTAGTTTGGAATTTTTATGTGCATATGCTTAGAACCATGTGATATGATTCCTTGTGCTACTGGAAAAAGCTAACTGTGATTGTTATTTTCTTCAGGAACAGAAATTTTTGATTGGCATCATTCTTATGGTTCCTGTCTACGCTGTTGAATCGGTACTTTTTTACTTTATCCCAACCCTTAAGCTAACTGTGATGATACATTTATTTTTTATGGTGAAGATGTCAGTGTTTTTGAAGCTATTTTACACTGCATTATAGGCTGTCTATTCTTTGTTTAATCTACAATTGTTAATTGTTGATTTAATTTCCCCTTGTTTTCTGTAATTATTTCATTTTTTTTTGGATTTTAAGTGGAGTTATACCCTCTTTATTTGTTTACTGTATAAGAATATTCCAATGACTTGGTTTCAAACCATTAACTTGTCATTTGGATGGTCAATTGCTTATGTTCTATGTTTTTAGACGATAATTATTTTGCAGCTAGTGTTATATTCGCTTGGCCATATGCTGTTCTGTTGCAAGTTTAACATCATTTTACCTAAAAGTCTTATATTTCATCAAGTAACTAATCCAGTTGTCCTTATTGTTGTCCTACAAAAAAAAAAAAGGAAAAACGAAAAAAAAAATTCCAATACTTTGTTGAAGGCACTTTATTGCTATTATATACCTAGTAAATGCAATAAGAGAGTTTTTTTAACTCAAACTTTTCAGCATAATTATTTGTTGATTCTTTTTCAATTTTAACCCATCTCTCAAATATGGTGTTTAGTTTTAGGAGTAAACCTTTATGTACTATTTAGTTGGGCTACTAGCTATGCATCATGCATGAACCCATTCATCATCTTTTGACACATTTTTTATGTGTTGAATTTTCCTAATAATTGCTTTTTTTATGTTTTCTCTTTCTTATGCTGCGGACATTTGTATCACAGTGGAATTTCTTTGATTCTTCACATATATTTATTTGGTTATGTCAGATAATGCCCGTCTACAGGTCTAGTTTTTAACTTAACATTGGGTTGACTCTCGTCTGAATACAATTCTAATACTAATTGGGCCTGACTCAGTTTGGTTTAAGGTTTACACCATTTTTAATCCTTGATCTCTGTACCATTGGGTCTTTGTGTTAATTCAAGCTCCTTGTTTTGAAGAATGATTGGGTTTGAAGTTGAATTTTGTGGGTGGATTATTATTTATGACTTGCGAAGGAGAAGAAATCAGTTGTTTCATAGCTGCAAGTGGCAAAAGCGAAGTAACTCTGATGAAAGCAATTATGGTTAAATTGATGTTTTCATTGGGAAATGGAAAGAGAAGGGAGGGGAGGTTAATGGAGAGGGCTTTTTACTAGGCTAGGTTATACAGGATGATCATGGGTCATCGATTAGTTATATTGCTTTTACAAATATTATGAAACTACTGTAATTTTTTTTTTGTTAGCGGGTGTCTTATTATAAAAGGATGTGCCTTAAATATTATGATGGAATCATTATTATATGATGATATGAAGCTTTTGAGCCTAACTCTCTCTCCCCATCAAAGCAGCAGATTGTTAATACCCTTCTAAACCCTCCTTCACCCTCTCCCCCTCTTTCTCCCCATTCTCTTTTCCACTCCCACTTCTTCCGAATCTAACTCACTCAGCAAAAGGTTAACCGGTCCTTCTTCTATCCTAAACCAAGCTCCTTCAGAGCCCAACCAAATTTACCTGTTGCCATTGCCAACCAAGTTCTTCCCTCTAAGCTAGTTAAATTTACCATTACCCCTTATTTAGTGCTTGATTAACTTAGTATGATGGATCCCCCTCTTCATCCTCATTCCATGTTGATGAATGACATCTCTAGTGTTTTGATTGGGATTTCGGATTTGGTCTGAGGGTTTAAACTATAAGCCACTTCAGCATGTAGGCTAGAATTTATGGAGACATTCTATGTATGTCTTTATGATATAGTTCACTGGAGCCAAATCTAAGTTGAATTTGGTCAACCTGAATCATAGTTTTGGCTCAGTAATAGGTGAATCAATTCATTGTGTTGGGTTAGTTTTAGGGCGGGAAGTTTGATTAAATTATATCTATGGTTGGATTGGAGTGAATTAAGGCTCAACCTGTTACAAAGGAAAATACCTCATGTATGCTAAGATTGTTTCTTTAGTGTGTGAGCCAATATCTGATTTTTTTATTTTTAGGTCTTTCTCATTTTTTTATCTTTTTGTTAGGTTTCATGCTATGGTTTCTCTTCTTTTGCATGTATTTTACTGCATATTTTTTAACTAGTATTGTTTTGTTTATTGCTTATGTACCTATGTCTATCTATCTATATTAGTCATTTTAATTAACTATTGTCAATCAGAAGTATTTAATATATAATGTTTAAAAAAATAATGAAATATCCAAGTATCTAACATTCATTTGGTGCCAATGTGAACTTGGCATGTTGCAATACAATATGCCGTATTGCTAGCATTATGGGATATTTATCTATTTAGTTATTTTTTATTTTTAAACAAATGAGCTATGCCAAGCCTCTACACAACAATTAGCATGCCAAGATTTATAAATCAGAAGTTGGCAAACTAATAATCTATTGACGTAGTAATTTACTGAACAGTTATCGTTTTTTTTTGGTATTACAGTTGAACCTCCAATTGCTTTGGTTCATGTTTTTTATATGTGAACATATGCTGCAGTATGCATACACGAATAAGGCCTCATTTGAATTAACTTTATTATGATGTTTGCTGTTTTAGGAAGTTAATGTTTTTCTTAAGTGGTTTCGCTATAAAGCTTTCCCGTAAGCATTTTTCACAAAATAACATTTTGTACTCATTGTGATTTTTGAGTGGCTTTAAAATACCATTTTTTATAAAACTGTTTTTAAACAAACTTTTTGAAAAACAGAAGCTTAAGCAAACAAACACTAAGTTGATCCATCTGACGACTTTCTTTTTCTATTGTAAAATTTTGATGCTTACTTTATCGGTGTTCTTTTTGTACTAGGATATCAAACTTAGTCTTCATTTTTGTGCAGTTCCTTTCACTGTTGAATTCAAAGGCTGCATTCATCTGTGAAATTATGCGCGACTGCTATGAGGCCTTTGCTTTATATTGTTTCGAGAGGTATTTAATTGCTTGCCTAGGTATGTTTGCCTTTTTCGTTTACCCCTCTACTTATAACTATTGATTGGCATATTGCTATAGTTGATTGTGTTAAATTCTAATTCCATATGATTTGACTGGTCTTCATCTTATGTTAGATGTTTTATTATGTCGATCTAACTCTAGGCGACAATTAAGCGCAAATTTGCATGCTAAATTTGAACACAATTAAGAATACTCGGGTTTATGTTTGGTAAAACAATAAGGATCAAGTTTTAAATGCTGAAATTAATGGTAGCATATTTTTATGAGTATAATTTATATTTGGGTTTTTTTGATCAACCATTATTATAAATACTATGCTACATGAACGCCACTTCAACTTATAAATTGTTTGCTATTTTCATTGTGCCATTTTATGAGGATCACCAACTATGTAAATCATACCCATTCATAATACATGTATACATAGATACAAACATACATATACATATACAAATTGATGCGTGCGTTAACTTAGCTGATGCAAAAGCACCAAATAGCGAATGCGGGAGTCGCATACCGCTCCTGGACCGCACCAGTCTGGCATTCTGATAGGTTGACCGACCCTTCAATATCACGACCCTACCCATAAGCTTGAAATTATCAAGATAGGAACTGTCGGCCGGACGAAAAAAATCTTTCTAAAAATTTCATTTCATAACAAATATAAAATCCAAAGCACAAAAGAATCATTCTATTTCATATAATTATATTTACTATGTATTGTTCATATTTAAACATTTACATCCAATAAAAATAAAAAATGAACTAAAATACCAATCACATTGTGCTCCACTGTGCCTGTTTTTTTACTCACTGAGGCTCATCTAGTATACAACCAATTTTCCTGTAAATTGCTAGTAACTAAAGTTTAAGTTAAAGCAACTCAGTAGGCAAATATTTTTGATGCTTACTTTATCGGTGTTCTTTTTGTACTAGGATATCAAACTAAATTACTTCTCATTTTAAATTTTTTCGCAAAAATGTAGTAAAAAGTGAAAGATTGTGTAGTAAAAGCGAACGGTAAAGAAAGTAATTTCATTTACTTTCATTTATTTTTGTTACACTTTTTATATTGGGGGTCACTGTTTAAACACATATTTTATATAAATATATATTTAACCTTTATCAACCTACCATAAAGGCAAACAACCTTTTTCATTTCATTTCATTTTTATTTTTGTACACGGATACATTACATTCTCTCGCCAACATTATCCAAGGGTGACTTCCATATGCATGCATATCTTATATTTTATTCATTTCTCTGGCATTTAACATTTAAAAGAAAATATGTACTTTTATATTTAAAATAAAAACTGTGAAACAGTAAATAAACAGAACTATTGTAAAATAAAACACATTTATAACCTCAACAATGTCGTCTGCTATTCTCAGATCAATTTTGTTCTTAGGCACACGTATAATAACAATTTAAAAGTAATTAGCTTTTTGTTCAGGGCTAATCATCTCTTCTATTAATTCTAGATTTTATATCTTTATTTTCAAATTTATTTATTTAATTAGTTATTTATTTACCTATATAAACATATATACATGTATATGTATTATCTAAACATATATACGTATTATGTTTGTAGGAATATACAATTTAATTTTATTTTAAAACTTCTAAAATTTTCTATTGGGCATACTTTACATTAATATAAATTTTATTATAAATAAGTTTTAAATTAGGATTCTTAATTTCATATTAACATTATCTAGGAAAATAATTATTAATTATTGAAATTGAGTTTTATATCTGAAACTTTCTCATCCCTCTTTCTGCCTTAGCTTCCTCGTCGAAACCCTAAAATTGTAGGAATCAATATTAGGATTTTTTGAAAATTAATTAAATTATCATAATAGTGAAGAATTAATTAACACTTCATAATTTAATTTAAATCAATTAAAATTAATAATTTAACTTACCTCACCCTCTGCCTGCTCTAAATGAGAGAATTGAGCCTCGCTTGGTTGAGCTCCTCTGCACTCAGAGCTCCTGCTCTCGGATGAGCTTCTACAGGCCGCATGTTAGGGAAAAGCTGCAACAACTCTCCTCCTTCCTCTGCGAGCAGCACTACAGGTTTCTTGTGAGCCCTTCTCCCTTAAGCCCTCGACTCGAGTTTTTAACTTGCGAAAACTTGCGTAAATGGAGAAACAAGCGCTTGGATCTTACCTCCTCTTCTTCGACTCAGTGAAAGCCCTCCTCCTCCTTTAGTATGATTGAGCGCTCCACTTCACGGAAAAACCATTCCTGTGTGCCACTTGAGTTCTTGTCATACTTGAAGGTTTGATGAATGGAAGGAAATGGCGCAGGTGAGCCGCTTGTCTCCTTCTCTTCCTTCTTCTTCTCCCTCTTTCCAGGGAACACTTTCTCCTCTATCCCACTCTTTCTATGTCTCATGCTTTCTGCTGAGTTGGAATGGGTGAGGGGAAATGAGGGAAAAATAGCAAATTTGAGTTTATCCCGAGCTTCCGAATGGTGTATGTAAAACGACACTTGTTTCACAATGTTCTATGGCGCTGAATGTTGGCCTTTAGAAGAGAAGCATAAAACTAAGTTAAGTGTTGTTGAGATGAGAATGATTAGGCGGATGACGGATGAGCAGCTTTACACTTAGAGACAAAATGCGAAATGAATATATCCGTGATAGGGTTGGTGTAGCTTCAGTGACGGACAAAATTAGAGAGAGTCGTCTCAGATGGTTTGGTCGCATTAAACGTCGACCATCTGATGGTTCAATTAGAAGAGTAGATGTTTTGGATTTGACTTATGTTAAGACAGGCAGAGGTAGACTTAGGATGACTTGGGCATATTGTATAAAAAATGATCTTAATTTATTAGGATTAAATGAAAATATGACACTAAATAGGACACAATGGAGAAAAAGGATTCATGTAGCCGACCCCACTTAGTGTGATAAATGTTTTGTTGTTGTTGTTGTAATTATAAATTTTCAATTGGTTATTATTACATTCAAGGCAGTGAACTATCATGGGGCCAATCCTTAGCTATCTAGGGTTTATATAATTGATTTTGGTGTTTTAGGTTTTAGGTTTTGATCTTATTTTTGTCATGACAGCCGTCAACATCCCCTGTTTTCTTTTTTAGGGCTGTATCTAAGGGTAAGTGGTGCTTCGGCTGAGGTGGTGGTTATCTTCCAAGGTTAGAGTTGTGCTTCGACTGTATCTCTCTCCTGAAGTAATGGTTATCATCCAAGGATCGAGTGGTGCTTCGATTTTATCTTACTCTTGATGTGGTATTTATCCTTCCCCGAGTCGATTTAGCCCCTATTTCAATGGAGGAAATGTGTATCAATGGTAATCTTATTTTCATACATTGACTTTGCTACAACCACAGGAAAACAACCCTCTCTGGTTGTTCTTCTGCAGTTCCCACCCTTTCAACCACCTCATCTTTCCCCAAGACGCTCCCTGGTGTTTCCTTGTCAACTTCCCTGCTTGAGCTGCCCATAGATAACATTCCTTTGCTGTGATGCTGCAACCACAACCACCATCCCTGCCGCCCGACCAATCGTTTCCCCCATTCCCATAGATTACCATTGTCGTCCTAACCTTCTCCTTCGGTTGTTGCCGCCCAGGACAACAACCTTTCGTTGTTGTGCTGCTATTTTTCTGCAGTCCAACCCCTTTTCTATCCCAATACCACCTTCTCAAGCCCCCTTGACCTCCACCACCATCTTGAAGTCATCTTAGTCGGGAATGTGTGTTGTAGTTGTTGTTATTTTCTATTTCCGTTTGTGTGGTTGTAATTCCCTAGTTGAAATCAGCAAATAATATTTGGTTTTTTCTATTGTGGTTTGGTGAGGTCTAACCTCTCCCAACCTAGGAAACTAACACAAGAGCGCTCCTGCTTTGGATGTGGGATGTGAGTTGTGACTCCCCCCGATTGCGGGAGACTGGCTGATATTTTCCTATTTTTCTTTTTCCATGTTTTCTTTTCTATTTTCCTTCATTTTTTTTTAGCATTTTCCTACATATTTATTGTAATAGGGTTTGGAAGTTAGTTTTTGCTTGATTTTTTGTCAGGACAGCCGTCAACTTCTTGATTTCTCTTCTATGGATTTATCTGAAGGTGAGAAGGTGCTCCGGATGTAACTCGCTTTAGGTGGTGTTTATCTACCGCCCTTGCTTCCCACAGCCTACCCTCCGCTACAGCCGTCACCATGTTTGCTGCAACCACTTAGAAAATAACTCCTTTGCTATTTTCTTACAGTTGCCTACCTCCCATCTTGCTTGCATCCCTTCCAGCCAACTCCCACCTTGCTGCCACCCCTTTCAAGCCGCCTTCCTTGCTGCCATGAGCCTGACCATTTCAACACCCTGCCACCATCTCTCTGCTGCTCCCACCTCAGCATTCACCATTGCCACCCACCTTATAACCATCTGACAACCAAATGCTGTCGTCAATTGTTGACTTTCAACCATCCGACTCTCCATACTTGCTATCTTCTCAAAACCGCAGCACCATCACCCTGTACCTAAGTCCTAGTTGTGTTTGTGTTATCTTTCGCCATTTCCTAGTTTTGATTGTCTTTGGTTGTATTCTTTATTTGATTTCAGTAATGAAAGTTGCACTTTTATTGGCATTTGGGGTTAACTCTAGTATCACAAATGCATATACACACATAAGACACAATACATACCATATATATATGTATTTATATGTATGTATGTATATGTATGTATGTATATGTAATGTATTTATATGTATGTATGTATGTATATGTATGTATGTATATATGTATGAGTGTATGTATATGTATGTATGTATGCATGGATACATCTATAAGTATGTATGTATATGTATATATGTATATATATATATATATATTTATATTATTTAAGCCCAAGGGCAATATATTAAAGAGAAAAGATATAGATAGGTTATGTGAATGGTCCCAACTATTCACCCTAATCACCCGACATACAACACACACGTAGGAAATACATGTATACACAAAAAAAGATT